TCAGTCTATTGTCCTCAGTGGCATGTAAGTGTACAGGGTAGACTGCATGAGAAATAGGGGAATGTTACCAAAACCATGTTAATAATAAGAGGACTATTGATACTGCATTCAGCTTATAACAAGGAAATTTTAGGTTCCAATCCTTTGTTCTCCAATTTTCACTCCTGATAATATAAGGTTTCTGTTACACGTACATGTAATCTGTAAAGTCCAAAGGACCTCCTATTAATGAGGTTTGACTACACCCTCTCTAGTACCAAATTACCAAATCGAATCAAGCAAAACTGTATGTGTACATGTACTGGATGTTGAAATGTACTTGTGCATTTGATCCCCCTCAAGTGGGCAAAACAGGACCTGTAACCCAAACTCAAGTTTGCATCAGTTTTCAGAGCAATTTAAAAACCACGGCAAAACAACAGTGCCCTCACCGTACACCTACGTGTACCTGGCAGCACCGAGCAATAACAGCGTGGCCTCAGGCTCTGTTCAACTCATGTACGCATATGTGCCATACATGCATGCACAAGAAGTCCATGAAACATTAACTCCCAGCTGCAGCGTGTCCGACTTGAAATAATATTTGTCGGTAATCCACACGAAAGAGAATCTTACTATCAGTCTCCTCTTCTGACCAGGGAAAAAAGAGAGAGAGAAAAAGGAGAAACACGATCTTCCAGAGCTGCCTTCACGAAGCCAGTAAAACTCCCAAGGACCCTTAGGTTCTTAAATCAACAAGATGTCAGACGCTGCGAATCTTATACTTGCAGACGAGAAGGGACATGTTTTTCTCTTTGATCTTTTTTTTTTCTAAAGTTTCCTGTCCATTCCCCTCTTGTTCTTTTCCCGAAGCAACAGATTCAAGGAAATTTTTAAATGTTAAGTCTGCTTGAATTGGCCTTGTTTTAGGCCAACCTAGTGCAGGATGAAATCCTATAGCTGCTGTGTGGAATGCATTACAGAAAATACTGCCCATGGCGATTCAGGGTATTCAAGAAGAAAATTAAGGGGGGGGGTTGAATCAATGCCAACAGATTACGGAAATTGCACAGATGAGATCAATACATTTGTTTCTCTGTGATTAACGTGCACAAAGTTTTAGATCTTTGTTAGTGGGAGGGGGAGGAGGGAGGGATAAACATTGGTGAGAAGTGCTTCAAAAGTCTCCCAATGCCGAATTGTTCTCTCCAAGAACTCAAGATCAAGCTTTAAGAAAAAAAGTGATGCCGGCAGTTTACAGTGTTCGACGGTGGGGATGACAGAAGGATCCGACAATCCTTAATGTGAGATACCATCCCAAACAAACAAGCATAATACCGGTTGGGTATATGAAATTGCACTCCCGTTAACAGCATACATCTACATGTATGTGTACATGAACTGGTACATCATGTGTACTTCATGAAACAATGAGAATGCGAGCATGCCTGGAAAGATTCACTGTACATTTACGGCACAAACAGTGAACACGTACAGTATACATGTATTTTCTAGTACACACGTAGTATGCAGTACATGTACATCCGTACACAGAGTAGGATACTACACAAATAATTCTGACAGCCTACATGTAGCTATTCCAAACTTTATTAATAATCATGAAGTTCAGTGGTCTGAACACACAAGTACAGGTACCATATACTAAACCTTGCAGGGGTTCAATAGTTCTTAAGTGAAATATGGTTTGTTAATCACACAACATCTGGAATACCAGTCCAGCGGTTCATCATGAATCTTCGGAGCACTGAACCCTCAGATCTCCGGACTATCAATCTTTGACTAATGTCTAAAGTGGGAATGAGAGACCAAAGTCTGTCACTGTTTCAAGGCAATTTAGGTACATGTAGATCCAGAGAGATATCAAGAAAAAAAATCTGAGGTGTTTGGGTTTGAACAGCAAAAGCGAGGCCACTCTTAAACTACGTCACCTCTTTTAAAAAAAGATAATCAAATGGTTGAAATGCTGGACACTGATCAACACGGTTATTAATCTTTGAGGAATTTTTGAAGAAACAACAAGTTAGCCTGTGAGGCTCACCAGACAACTACTGGTACATGTACATATACCTGTACAGTGTACATGTACAAGGGAACAGGCTCACGCATCTACTGAAAACGGTTTCCACAGCGGCGCCATCTCAATCAAGGGTCTAATCACCCGTCATATTTGCACAGTTGATGTCACGAGCACACTGCTCAGATTGGGAGGGGAGGCAGAAGGATTTCCAATTAAATTACTGTACCAATTTACTAGAGACACTAAAACCCATCCATCATGGGTTCATTTTTCTTCCTAAACTGGATCACATCATGGTCCCTGGAGTGTATTAACAAGGCAATGCAAATCAACAAGAAAATTGGCTGCACAATTTAATAGGTTGAATTCGGACACGAATGCTTTGTTTGGCGAGGGAAGGGGAGAAGGCTATTTGAAAGCAGGGAATTAAGACAATGAGACATCCACTTAATGGAATGGGGGTTTGTTAAATCATGTTGAGCAGTACAAAGTGTGCCCAATCTGTGAAATGAGCATATTTGAGGGAAGAGTTATATTTGAGGGCAGAAGACCTGACAACTTAGAGGCCCGCCACACAGGTACATGTACATTGGAAAATTGCAGTTCCTGCAACATCGAACAAAAACCAATACCTGCACATGTAATTGGGAAATATCAGACAAAATGTGCTTTCTCAATAAATATCAAAAGCCATTAACTCCTTAAACGACTGTCTAAAGGATAAATGTTCAATTCAATGTGCCAATGTTCATGACATAGAGGGGTAAGTACAGGTATATATGTACATCTGAATACATCACACTGCAAATGTAAGCAACCAATACCTATGAAACTGATCTGAAACAAATTGTTTCCTGCATGAATACCTTAATGTTTTCCCTGGTAAATTCATTTTTCTTCATGATTTGTTGCAGAAAGAGTTCCATACTTGTACATGTATACGGACAACCCTAATTTTCCTTTCATATAACCAACTAAATATATAACTGCCATCAGAAAGTGATAACATCTTAAAATGAGGTTTTTTAGCAAGCTCTCGGACAAGCACTGAGCATACAGTGCTTATCAATATACGCTGAGTAAGGGCAAAACCTGTTATATACATGTATAATTAAGATCTCCCCAACGCAAAAATACATCTTGAAAATAGTTCGCTGTACCCGCTGCTTCATTTGACTCGGACCGGCCAGCCGACCCCGGCAAGCTCAGTGGTCGAGTGGTTA